CAAGCCACAATAGCTACAGTAGGACTCACAAGTTACAACCCATGTGCCCTTGCCATATTCCAAGAAGTGGACAGTCCTGGGCACCTGTACCCACTGTGAAAGACCTCAAGCACTGCTGAGATTAAGAAAGTCCCATGTGAAATGCCAGCTACCACCACGCTCCTTGCTGAAGGGAGCTGCCCTACTAGTTTAGACCAATGGCTCATCTAATTCAGCACCCTGTCTCAACAGCAGCCATGAACAGATACTTAGACCCAAGCACACAGAGTGGGTTTCACCTACAGATGAGGCCAATACTGACTGGCTCTGTAGAAAAATGCATCTGGTCTCTTTGGGTATTGGGCATGTTTGACAGTCAGGAAAGCTGACTTTGACAAGCTCAGGAGGCTTGTTGGTGAGGCCCTAAGGGACCATGGCTTGACGGGGAGTGGAGTTCAGGATGAGTGGTTGCTCCTCAAGGGATCAATCCTGAAAGCACAAGTGATGCCCATCTCATCTTGGAGGAAAGGCAGCAAAAGGGCACAGCATCCCCCTTGGCTCTGCAGGAAACTAGTGGATCTCCTGCATCTAAAAAGAGAGACCTATAAGGGATGGAAGTCTGGAATCATTCCAAAGGAGGATTACTCTGCACTGGTCCTGTAGAGAGCGAACCAGGAAAGCCAAGGCTGCAATCGGATTCCAGCTGGCTATTTGTATCAAGGACAATAAAAAGTCCTTTTTTAAATATGTGGGGAGCTGGAAGAAAAACAAGGGTAACATTGGACCCCTGCTAAACCAAATGAGACAACTGACAACCGACACCCAGGAAAAAGCCAACCTGCTTAATGGGTATTTTGCATCAGTTTTTCACCAGCCTAAAGGGACCGCCCTGCTTAACATGGCCAGGGTGAGGGTGAATTTATACACTACATTGCTGTAGGCTATGTAAATGAACAGCCTGGGAGGCTGGACACCTTCAAGTCAGCTGGTCCGGACAATTTGCACCCCAGGATACTTAAGAAGCCGGCAGGCATCACAGCTCAGCCACTGGCACAGATCTTCGAGAACTCGTGGAGCTCAAGCAAAGTGCCCAAAGACTGGAAGAAGCACCAATGTGGTGCCTTATCTTCAAGAAAGGGAGGAAAGTAGGTATGGGGAACTACAGGCCTATCAGGCTGACCTCTATCCCTGGGAAGATCTTGGAAAAAATTATCAGAAAGACCATCCTTGACAAACTGGCAGATGGCAACATCCTGAGGGACAGCCAGCATGGGTTTGTTATGGGTAGGTCTTGCCTGACCAATCTCATCACCTTCTATGACCAGGTAACATATCACATGAACAAGAGAGAAGAGATTAACATCATATATCTGGACTTTAAAAAAGCCTTTGATCTGGTGTCCCATGATCTCCTCATGGAAAAATTGGCCAACTGCGTCCTCGGCTACATCACAGTCTGATAGTGGGGAATTGGCTCCAAGGTCGGACCCAGAGAGTATTAGTTGATGGAACTAAATAATCATGGCACTCAGTGACCAGTGGTGTCCTGCAAGGCTCCATCCTTGGACCTATACTCTTTAATATTTTTATTAACAATGTAGACATTGGTGCTAGAAGTGGACTGGCCAAGTTCACTGATGACTCCAAACTTTGGGGTAAAGTGTCCACACCTGAGGGTAGACTGCTGATCCAGGCCAACCTTTACAGGCTCAGAAAATGGGCAGATAAAAACCTAATGACATTCAATACTGAAAAATGCTAGGTACTCCACCTCGGGGGAAAAAAGCCTGCATCATGTTTATAGGCTCGGCAGTGCGATGCTTGCTAGCACTATGGTCAAAAGGGACTTGGGGGTCATGACAAGACGAACATGAGCCACCAATGCAATGTTGCAGCTGGTAAAGTGAGCAAAACTTTGGCTTGCAACCATAGATGCTTCTCAAGCAAATCTCAGGATGTCATCCTCCCGCTGTACGCAGCCTTGGTTAGGCCACAGCTGGAGTACTGCATCCAATTCTGGGCTCCACAATTTTAAAAGGATGTGGAAAAGCTTGAAAGAATCCAAAGGAGAGCCACCTGCATGATCACAGGGCAGGAGAACAGGCCTTATGGAAATGCGTAGGCTCAGGGGAGACTTAATGGCTGCCTATAAGTACATAAGGGGTGTGCATCAGGATCTGGGGGAATGCCTGGTCACCAGAGTGCCCCAAGGGATGACAAGGTCAAACGGTCACAAACTCCTCCAAGACCATTTTAGGTTGGACATAAGGAGAAAACTTCTTTACTGTCCGAGCCTCCAAGGCCTGGAATAGACTCCCTCCAGACGTGGTGCAAGCACCTACTCTGGACTCTTTTAAGAAACATTTGGACATTTATCTTGCTGGGATCCTTTGACCCTAGCTGACTTCCTGACCCCGGGGCGGGGGGCTGGACTCGATGATCTTCCGAGGTCCCTTCCAGCCCTAACGTCTATGAAATCTATGACAGAGCCTTCCACAGGGATTATAAAAGTGCCTGCAGGAGAACCTACCCATCCCCTCCCAAGGGATCACATTCTCTTTGAAACCTGCTGCTCTGACTGAAACCCTCCCTTTCCCTGATCCAAACAATTCTGTCATTTGTGCTGTCAGTCAGGGGAGTTGTCATTTCAGTCTATGTGGAATAACACCGCTTTATGTCTTCCATTCCACTTCACACATTATGAACCTTGGCAGACAGAAGGTTGTGGTAGGTAATAAATAAAAGCAGCAAAGCAACCAACCAGAGATGGCAACAGAAAAAGCACTTGCCCTTTGACTGAATAGTATCTATCTGTATTCTAGCTTTCAGTCCAGCCTGTAGCCCTCTGGTGCCTTCCCAGAGACCAAACAAAATCCTACAAACAGAAATGGAAGCTTCTTGGATATACAGAACCTTCTTGGACAGTTATGGTCTAAGAGCTCAGGGTACCGTGGAAACAGGCTTTCATTACTGTGAATCTGCAGGAGCAAATAGGCTCACAAAATGAATCTGGTGTCCTTACAGGCACTTTGGGAAGTAATGGATGCTAACAAAGAAGGCAGGGAAATTTTAATCTCTTTTCAATCACTTCTGCCCAGGGCTCTGAGTCCTTTCTTTAAAACAGTGATAATTTGGTGTCAATTTAGGCTGCAGCCATGGGGCTTCCCCCGCACATTTACCATGTGCCTGGTAGAGCTCAGTGAACTACAGAATAATAAAATGGAAGGGACACAAGAAAGTGAGAGTTTAACAGAGCCGGGCCTAACCTCTGAGATAACACCGATGCCAACAAAGGCACATCCCTGCTTTGCTCTCCTGCCCCCCCTCCACCCCCTAAGGCTCTGTTCCCTTGTTTCCTTTCCACCCTCCTCCTCTCATCCATGAGCTCAGCCTTCTCTCTTCTCATTTCCGCTGGAAAATGACAGCACAGTAATTTCAAGAGCCTTCTTGTTTTAAGGCAGTTGATGGCAAGACCTCAGGACGTGATTTCCGCCCGCCTTTGTGCAGGGTTAAGTGAGTGCCGAGGCAGAGCCTGCATAAACACACTCAGGCAGAAGCGAGAAAGGTCAGCCCAGCTTCCCCCATCTCTAGCAATCAGTGTGTGTGAGTGTGTGTGCCTCAATGTGATATCACCCTGCCCTGCAGTTATAATTAACCCCTAAAGAACCCCAATTTAGTGACGAGCTGTATCTGGCTCCACAGGGCAGTGCGGAAACGGATCACCACATAAAGCCTATGCTCCATCTTCTGAAGGGAATGAGATCTTTATTTTTCCAGCTCCCCCCAGCTAAGCAAGTGGGTGGGGGATGGGAGGAGGGTTAGACGGCAGCTGTGGCAAGGCATGAATAATGTAAGCCTCCCTAGGTACAGATGGAGAACTTCAACGTGAGTGTCAGTGACCCCCTTCAAATGGACACCTCCCAGATCTCATTCAGCAAGTCACACATGGGTTACTTGGCACAAATCGGGACTCAGTGTCAAAGAACACCTTCCACAAGGTAGGCAAGATGCTCTGGTGGTAAAAAGCAAAGCATCAGTGTTCAGGAGCTCTACGTTCAAATCCTGGCTCTGTTTCCTGTGAGACCTTGGGTGAGTGCCTCTGTCTGCCTGTGCCTCTTATCTTCACCTGTACAGTGGGCCTAATTACAGGGTTACAGGTACAGTCAGTAGAACGTGTGATGTACTCCGCAGAACAGCCCACACAGACAACATAGGGAGCACAATTAACACCTTCCTCTACGCCTCTAGTGAGATTGTTCATAGACCCAGCTTTTGCACGTGCAGTAACTCAGACTCAAAACCAGAAGTCAACATTTGTGAAACTGCTCTGGAGCCTTTAACCCTAAAACGCCTGCAGTCACCACCTCTGTATAGTCAGAATGTCAATGAAAGCCCTGTTTGGGGGAAGGGGGGAGAATAGAAGCGGGGGGAGTTGGAACCAAGAGGAAAATGTTGACTATAAATACATGAACCGGTTCATTTTAAAAGGGATGAGTTTGACACCCAAATTGAACCAACAAGGGCTGGGAGCACAGCACAGACAGTGGACTTGCTCCCTGCCTCAGCAGGGACTCAAAGCAAAGTAGATGTAGTATATTCAGCCTTATATGAGATGCACCCAGGAGCTAGCAGAAGCAGTCTGTTCAGCCACCAGGGAAAACAGCTTGCTTTGCAGGCCAGTATCCTCTGGAGTGTGTCACAGATACTCACGTTGACTAGAAAGTATGTCAAATAAACCACCTAGCCACCAGATTCAGATGGAACTAACTGATCATCTAGCTGAATAACAGTGCTTTGTTTCTGCATGTCATCAACACCCTTGGTGCTCAAACAAAGGTACTCTAGTAAAGTGAATGCTCTCACAGCCCCTAAGCATGTCTCATTTTAAATGAAATAATGGTCCAAACACTAACAACGCAGCATTGCAATGTACATGTTGGAGCACCCAGCCCAGAACCACTCAGGCATGTCTAGGAAACATTCCCACCTTCTCAGTCACACAAAGAGTTTAAACATCATACCTGTCACAGTCACCAGCATGGAGGCCACCAAGGGACGGTTGTTGTCCAGCTTTCGGCTCAGCCTCAGGTCACCGCTTGACTGATTTACAATCAACAAGTGCAGTTCATTTCCCCTTTCAAAGGTGTAGAAAAGCCTGTCAGACACATCTGGATCATAGGCAGGGATCTTCCCTATCACACCGGAAGGGAAGGTGTTGGACTTGTTGGAGACATAGTTATTGAAGAGTATCTGGAAGTTCTTAAGGACTGGACTGTTGTCATTTTGGTCAATGAGCTTGATGTGGACCATGGCTCTGCTAACCAAAGGAGCTGATGTGGCCTGGACCACAATTACATACTCAGGCTTTGTCTCGTAATCCAGGTCAATCAAGGCAGTGAGCTCCCCAGAAAAGATGTCCATCTGGAAGATCTCGGGGATGTTGCCTTCCACAATCTGATACATAATCTGGGCATTGGGCCCCTCATCTGGGTCAACAGCTGTGATCTGGGCCACCACAGAACCTACAATGCTGTTTTCCTTCACCAAGACTTCAAATTCTTCAGCTGGGAAAACAGGAGCATTGTCATTCACATCCTGAACAGTGACTTGTATGTGGACTGGGGTTCTCTGAGGAGGCACCCCCCTGTCCACAGCATAGGCAGTCAACTCATAGACAGGAACGCTCTCCCGGTCCAGCCTGCGGACGGTGCGGATAATCCCAGAGGTGGGCTCTATGGTGAAATCCCCATCTCCATCCTCACCATTCTGGAAGGTGTATTGTACCCGCCCATTGGTGTGAGCATCCCGGTCAGTGGCAGAGATCTGGAGCACGCTGGTGAATGGCGCGGCATCCTCAGAGATAATGCCCTGATAGTGAGCACTGACAAACTGGGGGGCATTATCATTTACATCATTCACCATGATTTCTACATAGGTGGTGTCTGCTTTCTGAGGAATGCCATTATCTTTGGCAGTGATGGCCAAAGTGTAGGTCACCTGGTCTTCGTAGTCCAGCTCCGCCTGCAAGGTGATGGCCCCCGAGTCTGGATCAATGCGAAACTGAGGAATGTTGTCCTCTAGGTAATAAGTGATCCTGGCATTTTCCCCCACATCATCGTCAGTAGCACTGATCACTACTACTGTGCTGCCCACTGGACGGTCCTCATTGACACTCACCGAATAGTGGGCACTCTGGAACACTGGCCGATGGGTGTTGGCATCTGTGATGTTGATATGGACATGGCAGATATCATGCAGGGTCCGGTCGGAGGCAGTCACCGCAAGCACATAGCTCCTGTCCTGCTTATAGTCCAGGGGCAGAGAGAGGGTGATCAGTCCCACACCGCCCTGAGTGCTGATGGAGAAGCGGTTGCGTGGGTTCCCCCCAGTTATCTGGTAGCTGATGACACTGTTCACATCCCGGTCGATTGCGGTGACGCTGAGAACACTGGTCCCCACCGCGGCATCTTCGTTCAGACGGATGAAATACTCCTTCTGGGTGAACTCAGGGCGATTGTCATTCACGTCCATGACTGTGATGGTGACACTGGCAGAGGCGGATAAGGATGGAGAACCGTGGTCCCGAGCCTCCACCCCAAAAAAGTAATGCTCCACTGACTCTCGGTCCAGCGGGCCACTCACTGTGATCCATCCGGTGGCGCTGTTCACCACAAAGGGGGTATTGGCTGAGACCCCTGTCAGTTTGTATTCCAGGCGAGAGTTCTCCCCATAATCCGCATCCACTGCCTGGATGTGGATCACAGAATGGCCCAGGGGGGCATTTTCCAGCACCGAGATTTGAAATGGGGTGCTGACAAAGATTGGGGCATGGTCATTAATGTCCACCACTTGGATGCTGACCATGCCTGTGTTATTAGACAAGGGAGGGCGCCCTGCATCCTGGGCACGGATCCTCAGGGCGTACTCGCGTTCCACCTCGAAATCCAGAGGTGCCACCACCTGTATTTCCCCGGTCACGCTGTCAATGGAGAACTGGCCCCTGCTATTGCCACTGATGATGTTGTAATGGACCAGCGCATTGTTGTCCTTGTCCAAGTCAGTGGCCGTCACTCTCAGGATCTCTGTGTGGGGCCGTACGTCCTCCCGCACCTGGACAATGTAGCGCTTCTCGCTGAACTGCGGGACATTGTCGTTCTCATCCAGGACGGTGATGTAGACCTTCACCGTAGCTGACCGGGGACCAGGCTCCTTCCCCTGGTCGCTGGCCTCCACTACCAGTGCGTACTTCTCCATCATCTCCCTGTCCACTGGGCCGCTGGTGGTGATAAGCCCCGAGCGGGGGTCAATCTCGAAGACAGCATGGGCGGCGCGCTCATCCACGAAGCGGTAACGGATGTTGGCGTTGGGTGGCGAGTCGGCATCCGTGGCCCGCAGCTGCAGGATGGGGTAGCCCTCCTCCACGTTCTCCCGGATGGTCTCGCGGTACTCGCCCTGCTCGAACACGGGGTCGTGGTCATTGCGGTCGGCCACCGCCACGGCCACCATGGCGGTGGCTGAGAGGCGCGGCGTGCCGTGGTCCACAGCTGTGACGCGCAGGTAGTGCAGGGCCATGCTCTCCCGGTCCAGCGCCCGCGTGGTGGCGATGAGCCCGCTGCGCGGGTCGATGCGGAACAGTTCCAGCGAGCGGCTGTTCATCAGCGCAGCCAGCGAGTAGGCCAGGCGCCCCGCCTCGCCCACGTCCGGGTCCGCCGCCGCCGCCGCCAGCACCGGCGTCCCCGGGGGCTGGTTCTCGGCCACCTGCACCTGGTAGTTGTAGTGCGGGAACTGCGGGTGCCGGTTGGCCGCGCGCCGCGCCCTGGCCCCGGCCCCGGCCCCGGCC